AGTATACTTTTGTAAGAACATTAGATTAATTCCAAATTCCATCTAAAATAAATTGTTCATTTAGGTAAAAAATAAATGTTAGTACCTAACTCGAATAATTCAGCGCCCTCTATTTTTCTCGGAGTGATCGTAGTGATCGTAATATAACGACTGGATTAGTTAATACCTTAGACTATTTTCAAAAACTGTCTGAATACCCTACAGACTGTAGTTTACGCGCACATTCACCAACTACGTATTTCCACGGCTAACAAAATTCATAATCGTATCTTTTAATTTGTTTTAATTTATTTCAGTGTTTATTTTTCAAACTTTTTATGTAAATAATTTTGGATCAACATCGAGTCAGATTAAATTATGATTTACTAAATGATTAATTAAAACTGAAATATGCATCCAATCTAAATTTTACGCCTATTATCACCTATATAACAAGATTTAACAGAACACAATTCATGTTTTATATTTAAAGAAAAACATGTACGCTAAACGAAACTATGCACGTCAAGAAACGATGTACGCTAAACGATACGATATACGAGAAACGAAACGATATACGCTAAACGATACGGTATACGCTAAACGAAACGATGTATGCAAAACCATACGATGTACGATAAAAGGGCGCTTATGTGATCGTTTATGGTATGGTTTATGGTACATGGTTTCGTTCGTACATCATTCGGTCAGCGTCCGTACAACGTTCGGTCAGCGTTTCGTTTGCATTCGTATACCGTTCGGGAAGCGTACGTACATCGTTCGGGCATCGTCCGTACATGATTCGGGCATCGTTCGTATTGTTAACTTTTACGTTACACGGACTGTACAACCAACAACACACCATATCATTACACTTAAAATACAAACACTAAAAATAAAAAGTCACCAATCAAACACATAACATAGTACAACCAACAACCCACCACATCATTACACTAAAAATACAAACACTACAAATACAAAGTCACCAATCAAAGTACAACCAACAACCCACCACATCATTACACTTAAAATACAAACACTAAAATTAAAAAGTCACCAATCAAACACATAACATAGTACAACCAACAACACACCATATCATTACACTTAAAATACAAACACTACAGATAAAAAGTCACTAATCAAACACAGGAAGTAGTACAACCAACAACCCACCACATCATTACACTAAAAATACAAACACAACAGATGCAAAGTCACCAATCAAACACATAACATAGTACAACCAAAAACCCACCACATCATTACACTAAAATACAAACACTACAGATACAAAGTCACCAATCAAACACATAACATAGTACAACCAAAAACCCACCACATCATTACACTAAAATACAAACACTACAGATACAAAGTCACCAATCAAACACATAACATAGTACAACCAAAAACCCACCACATCATTACACTAAAAATACAAACATTACAAATACAAAGTCACCAATGAAACACATAACATAGTACAACCAAAAACCCACCACATCATTACACTAAAGATACAAACATTACAAATACAAAGTCACCAATCAAACACATAACATAGTACAACCAACAACACAACACATCATTACACTTAAAATACAAACACTACAGATAAAAAGTCGAAAATCAAACATATAACATAGTACAACCAACAACCAACAACATCATTACACTAAAAATACAAACACTACAAATACAAAGTCACCAATCAAACACATAACATAGTACAACCCACAACTGACCGCATCATTACACTAAAAATACAAACACTACAAATAAAAAGTCAGATATCAAACACATAACTTAGTACAACCAACAACCCACCACATCATTACACTAATAATACTTAAACTACAGATACACAGTCATTAATCAAACACATGCGTAGTACAACCAACAACCCATCACATCATTACACTAAAAATAAAAACACGACAAGCACAAAGTCAGAAATCAAACACATAAAATAGTACAACCTACAACCCATCACATCGATACAATAAAAATACAAACACTACAGATGCAAAGTCACAAATCAAACACATAACATAGTACAACCAAAAACCCACCACATCATTACACTAAAAATACAAACACTACAGATACAAAATCAGAAATCAAACATATAACAGAGTACAACCAACAACCCATCACATCATTACACTAAAAATACAAACACTACAGATGCAAAGTCACCAATCAAACACATAACATAGTACAACCAAAAACCCAACACATCATTACGCTAAAAATACAAACACTTCAGTTAAAAAGTCACTAAACAAACATATAACATAGTACAACCAACAACACACCACATCATTACACTAAAAATACAAACACTACAGATACAAAGTCAGAAATCAAACAAATAACATAGTACAACCAAAAACCCACCACATAATTACACTAAAAACACAAACACTACAGATACAAAGTCACCAATCAAATACATAACATAGTACAACCAACAACACACCACATCATTACACTAAAAATACAAACACTACAAATACGAAGTCACCAATCAAACACATAACATAGTACAACCAACAACCGACCGCATCATTACACTAAAAATACAAACACTACAGATAAAAAGTCAGAAATCAAACATATAACATAGTACAACCAACAACCAACCACATCATTACACTGAAAATACAAACACTACAAATACAAAGTCACCAATCAAACACATAATATACTACAACCAACAAACAATCGCAGCATTACACTAAAAATACAAACACTACAGATGCAAAGCCACTTATCAAACACATAGCATAATACAACCAATAACCCATTACATCATTACATTAAAAACACAAACACTACCGATACAAAGTCAGAAATCAAACACATAACATAGTACAACCATCAACCCACCACATCATTACACTAAAAATACAAACACTACAGACACAAAGTCACTAATCAAACATATAACATTGTACAACCAACAACCCACCACATCATTACACTGAAAATACAAACACTACAAATACAAAGTCACCAATCAAACACATAACATAGTACAACCAACAACTCACCACATCATTACACTAAAAATACAAACACTATAGATACAAAGTCACCAATCAAACACAGGAAGTAGTACAACCAACAACCAACCACATCATTACACTAAAAATACAAACACTACAGATACAAAGTCACCAATCAAACACATATCATAGTACAACCAACAACTCACCACATCATTACACTAAAAATACAAACACTATAGATACAAAGTCAGACATGAAACACATAACATAGTATAACCAACAACTCACCACATCATTACACTAAAAATACAAACACTATAGATACAAAGTCAGACATGAAACACATAACATAGTATAACCAACAACCCATCACATCATTACACTAAAAATACAAACACTACAGATACAAAGTCACTAATCAAACACTTAACATAGTACAACCAACAACCCATCACATCATTACACTAAAATTACAAACACTACATATACAAAGTCACTAATCAAACACATAACATTGTACAATCAACAAGTCACCACATCATTACACTAAAAAATACAAACACTACAAGTACAAAGTCACAAATCAGATATCTTGTACTACCAACAACCAACCAAAACCATAGATTAAAGACAAACACTTACAATAAAGAAATAAGGATATAAGGGCGCAAATCAAACACATGACAATCATCAAATACTAACAGCAAGGAACCACTTCATAACACTTAAATCCCTAGCAATAACAAATAAATAATATAGTTCATTTGTCTTGTCCTACTTCATCCATTCATATAGATATTTGATACTTTCCTAAAAAAACAAGTTTTTAATATGAAAGTTCTGGACATAGCTCTGACATCTCACAACAAAACATGTTGTTTATTTGTTGTTTATGTAGAATATAAATACAAGTGTGACTGGTCATTTTCTATTTATTTTTGACCACTAATTCATGTGATGTACAATATATATATTTTACCTATATTTAATTAACATTGTCTAGTTTATGACACAAGTTTTGATGTCTGTTATATGTTGATGTTACAGAATGGAGTCACACTATTAATGTATGCTGCATCGGAAGGCCAACTGGAAATTGCATGTTACCTGGTCAGCCTTGGATGTAATATAAATGCCAGATCCAAGGTAACAAAAGATATATCTTCTGTCTGATCTTATTCCTGTTTATACTGAATAAGTTAATCAGACAGGTTTAATAGACAATACAATTTATAAAAATTGTACATAATGCTATGTCAATTTACTCATGACGTCGTAGGTACTGATAAGTATGGTCTTATAGTGTATTCTTTGCAAAAACATATTTTCTAAACATCTAACAACAGTGTTAACATGTTTAGTCAGCTAATATTAATTATACAAATCTTTCTGAATCCATAGATATAAATAGTTCATACATTTCTTTCAAACAAATATTTTTGTTACATGACATTTCTGATGGAAGTTTTGATATCTCACAACAAAATATGGTGTTGACTTTTGACCACTGATTCTGATGTAATATATAGTTTGATTTATGTTAATAACACAATACTGTTTATGTTAATAACACAATATGGTTTATGTTAATAACACAATACTGTTTATGTTAATAACACAATATGGTTTATGTTAATAACACAATACTGTTTATGTTAATAACACAATGTGGTTTATGTTAATAACACAGTATGGTTTATGTTAATAACACAATATGGTTTATGTTAATAACACAGTATGGTTTATGTTAATACCACAGTATGGTTTATGTTAATAACACAATATAGTTTCTGTTAATAACACAATAGTGTACAGTTTATCACAGAAATTTTATATAATGATATTACAGATTTGAAGGACAATGTAATATATATTGTATTTTGTTGATACTACAGATTTGAAGGACAATGTAACATATATTGTAGTTTGTTGATATAATAATTACGCAACATCATCTAGATTATCACTTTAAATTAACAAACTTATTTTTTTGTAATATAGACCGGAAAAACAGCATTACATATAGCTTCTCAGTATGGACAGCTACATGTCACCAAATGGTTAATAGAAGAAGGAGGAATCAGTCCACTGGTTAAAACATCTGAGGTAACATTTGACATTATATACTAAGTGTTAAGTTTAACAGTGAATATTTTCAAAACTGTTTTGAAAAAATACAGGTTTTATTAATTTGTTTTTATTATGGTCTAAACTGAATTTTGTTGAATTGTTCTTAAGATAAAAAAACAACGATGAAAGTTCTTATAATTATAAATGTTAATATCTAAAGTCAGACTGGGGAATAACAGTTATTGATAAAATACCACATACACATTTCTATTAATCTTACAATATTGTTTACAAGCCGTCTTACACTAAAACATAACCATTATCAGTCTGTATGGACATATAGTCACTGATCCAACTGACAGCCACCAGGTGCTACCAACACCTAATACATTTATTACACTGACATCCAAAACACTAAAAATAAAACGACACGTATACAAAGCAAGTTTTGAAATGTATGACAGTAATGATGTACTAACTAAATACATTTAATATACAAAAACCAACATTCAGCCATTATCTATAGAACCAACTATATACCAAACACTCGAGAAACAAACACCTAACATAATATGTTAGCAACAATTTACGTTAACGACACTGAGAATGAAAAGTAAAACATTAAAGTTACAAAAGCTGCTAACAAAACACTCATTCATTCAACCACATAACAGCCATTAAGTATTGCAAACAACCAAACACAAAAATACATTAAAGACCCAAACAAATTATGACAGTCACAAGTTACTACCAATAACTAACCATTGACCAGACCCTGAAGATACAAACATCAACAATCAAACCATCTTTATCAGTCCATAAAGAGACAGTCACCAATTAAACACATGACCACCACTAGACTTTACAACAACTAATTATGAATAAGACATACATTATAAGGACATAACGACAAACCATGAGCCCCCTAAGACATAATCAACATCCAAACAGTTGACGCTACAAACAACCAATAATAAAAAACTGACTTTAAAGACACATCTAATGATAATATTAATACTGCTGTTACAGTCCTGCTGTAATAGTACTACTGTAACTGTACTGCTGTAACATTCACCAATTAAACAAATAATAGCAATAAGGCACTAAACAACCAATTAAACCCTTACTTTAAAGACCCAACCACAAAACATGAGCCCCTACATATATGTAAGAAAACACACGATAGTAATCCGCTAACAAAACACAAATGACATAGATTCAACCATATATCATCAGCCAATACATTATTTTAAAAAGGGAACACATGACAGCCATCAACGAACAAGACACTAATTATATAGATACAACCACATATCATCAGCCCCTGCAGCTATATTGACCAGAAAATGTGTGACAGCCATCAACCAAAAAGACACTAATTATATAGATTTAACCCCATATCATCAGCCCGCAAAGGTACAGTCACCAAACAAGCACATGATAACCACCAGGCATTACAACAGCCAACTTCCATTTGAAACTATTAGTAAAGAAATTGTCACCAATTAAACACATGATAACCTCCAGGCATTACAACAGCCGACTACCATTTGAAACTAATTGTAAAGTTACTGGCACCAATCAAACACAGGATAACTACCGGTTTTTACAACAGCCAACAATCATTTGAATCTCATTGTTAAGACGCAACCAACAACTTAACAGTCACTAATTAAACATATGACAGCCATCAGGAACTACCAACAACCATTAGTAACTAATTATAAAGATATAACCAACTAATAACAATCACCAATAAACACATGACGACTTTCAGGCACTACCGGCTAAAAATTGCGAAGATGCATCAAACAACTTACCTTCACCAATAAAATACAGGTAAGCCACATGATTCTTCCATCAATCATAAGGTACTAACTGTAAAGACACAAGCAACAATAAACAGTCACCAATCAAACACATGACAGCCATCAGGCACAACCAACACAAACAAATATTTGAGCCTTATTGTAAAGACACATCCAGCAATTAACAACAACCAAGCACATGACATCCACCAAGAACCACCAACAACCGTTTTAGACTATTTGGTAAAGCCATAAGGTGCGTCCAATTGTCAACCGACAACTTATGGTCAATTATTAGACGCATTACAGGTACAACAAACCAACCGTTATACAACACTTTACAACAGCAATAAAGCACTTCAGCTGTTTACTAGAGCCTAATTATATTGACATAAGGGACAACAAACTGTCATCAATCAAACACATACGCACAACCAACAACATACAATCATAAAAGACTAATTTTTAAGATACAACCAATAATTTATTCTCATCAATCAAACAATTGACAGACATCAGGCAATACCAACAACAAATTAGATAATAAATACAAAGACAAAACCAACAACTAACAGCCATCAATCAAATATGTAACAGCCTTCAAGCATTTCAAACAACCAATTTGCAACTAGTTATGAAGACACTACCAAGAACTAACAACCATCAATCAGGCACATATCAGCCATGTCCTACATTGTACAACCAATTATTTTAAAACCACTATCAACAAATAACAACCACCAATATAGCACATGACAACAATTAGGAACTTCAAACAACCTCCAAAGACTAATTGTAAAGTCACAACGTATAGTCACCAAACAGTTAACAGGTACTGTCATCAACCAATGATCATATGAAACTAATTGTAAAAACACAACTTTTGTAGGTAAATCCAGAAAAGCACTTCGGACGCATGAAATTTATAACGTGTTCTTTTCATTCTTTACAGCACTGGGTCGATACTTCTGTTGGTGGAGTATCAATCCCTGAGGTTATCATCAGCTCAGTAGTCAGTACTTCGGTACTGACATGATTTGATAACAAACCTTTCTAAACTTGTCTGTTAACTAATTTTGAAATTGTTAGAAACTAAGGTTTCAACTCCCGCAGGCAAAGTTGACGTTAGATGGATTTGACAATTTTTTTAAGGTACTTTTTGGTTATATAGCTCTTCAACTTTTTAGGTTCTTATACATCCTTGGCTTTCAAATATTCGGTGTTAAGCCTTCCTCATGAAGGTAAATCCAGAAAAGTGCTTCGGATGCATAATCAACAATTTATATTCATAAATCAAACACATGACAGACATCAAGCACTTCCAACAAAATTGATTGATTGATTGATTGGTACTTAACGCCACTTTCAAAGCTATTGTGCTATTTTGTGGAGGTCAGTTTTTTATTGGTGGAGAAAGCCTGAGTGCCCGGAGAGAACCACCAACCTTTGTTATGAAAATCGACAATCCTAGTCAATTAAGATCGGAGTCGAGTGCACCTGTCTCATGCAAAATTCGAACTCACAACCTCAGTGTTGACTGGCTAGTGTTACAGTAGTTCGACTACTTAGACCACTCGGCCACCGAGGCCCCCTTCCAACAACAAACAACCATTATATACATATACTTATTGACTTATAAAAACCACCGACGAAACACATGTCAACATCCAGGCACACAAAACAACCATCAAAGACTAACTGTAAAGTCTTTACCAACAACTAGTAGTCTCCAATCAAACACATAACAGCTATAAGGAACTGCCAATCACCATAAGAGACATATTGGAAAGACACTTCCAAAAACTAACAAGACACTCATTATAAAGACACAACCAACATCTAACAAACACAAACACATAATATCATCAGATATTTCCTACTGCCAATAAGAAACTTCTCATCATGACACAACCACCAGTTAATCGTTTGTTGGACACATGACATCCATCAGATACTAACAACAACCAACAAATAGAAGAGTTTAATGGAATATTGATTGGTGACAATATAACTGTAGTGTTTAATTGTAAGTGCTAGTGATTACAGTGTAATGCGGTGGTTCCTTGTTTGTAGTACTTCGTGACTGTTATATGTTTGATTGGTGACAATATAACTGTAGTGTTTAACTGTAAGTGCTAGTGATTACAGTGTAATGCAGTGGTTCCTTGTTTGTAGTACTTCGTGACTGTTATATGTTTGATTGGTGACAATATAACTGTAGTGTTTAATTGTAAGTGCTAGTGATTACAGTGTAATGCGGTGGTTCCTTGTTTGTAGTACTTCGTGACTGTTATATGTTTGATTGGTGACAATATAACTGTAGTGTTTAATTGTAAGTGCTAGTGATTACAGTGTAATGCGGTGGTTCCTTGTTTGTAGTACTTCGTGACTGTTATATGTTTGATTGGTGACAATATAAATATAGTGTTTAATTGTAAGTGCTAGTGATTACATTGTAATGCGGTGGTTCCTTTTGTTTATAGAATTGATGACTGTTATATGTCTGATTGGTGAAAATACAACTACAGTATTTAATTTTTAGTGCTAGTACTATTAGACACAACCATCAGAGATAATAATTAAGGGCTACAAGTTATGAATTATTTGTATTTTAGGGTAAGACTCCATACATGCTGGCTGCAGAAGACAGTGATGATTCTTCTGAGAAAAAACAGGAAAAAAAAGAAATAATGGACTACCTCAAGGTACATGTTCTGTTTGATATAATTGTTAAAACATCATTAAGAGTAAGTAGGAGATATTTTCATTGAAATTTTCGATACTTTGACAGAAACTTTTGAAGAACAGGACAGTATCAAGAGTAAAATTTTGAAACATTTTTTCAGTATTTTACAGACTATGAAAGGACTTAGCTTTGTTTAAGGCATGACTGTAGTATGTTTTTTCATTTATGAAGAAATAATATCAAAAATGTGGTGCACACTGAATAACCCATGTAAAGGGTTATTTAAAAGTGTGAACCACATTTTTTTATGCCCCCACCGTAGTGAAGGGGGCATTAAGTTTTACCCTTGTCCGTTCGTACGTCCGTACGTCTGTACGGCCCCAAAGTTGGTTTCCGTTCTCTAACTTTAGTTTGCCTCAACCAAATGTTATGAAACTTATACACAATGCTTATTACCATAAAATACAGATCAAGTTTGAAATTTGGTACAGTCACTTTAACAGTTCTAGAGTTATGTCCCTTTACAAATGGAAAATATTCTGAATTTTTTTTTCTGTTCTCTAACTTAAGTTAGCCTCAACCAAATGTTATGAAATTTATACACAATGCTCATTACTACAAAACACAGATCAAGTTTAAATTTTGTGGTGTCACTTTTTACTGTTCTAGAGTTATGTCCCTTTACAAATGGAAAAATTGCTGAATTTTTCGTTTCTGTTCTCTAACTTAGTTTGCCTCAACCAAATGATGAAACTTATACACAATACTTATTACCACAAAACTCAGATCAAGTACAAATTTGGATAGTGTCACTTTTACCGTTGTCAGTTATGTCCCTTTATAACTTGATATGATATGCAAGCTGGGGGACTTCGTTTAACATAGGACCCTATGGACAATACATACAAATGTCTTCTTTTAGAGAACCACTGAATGGAATGAAACCAAACATTGCATTGCATGAATATTCCTTATGAGGTGCTGAGCAAGTGTTGTTACTTTGTAGCTGATCCATCATCCAAGATGGCCGCCTGGGGGACTTCGTTTAACATAGGACCCTATGGACAATACATACAAATGTCTTCTTTTAGAGAACCACTGAATGGAATGAAACCAAACATGGCATGCATGTTCCTTATTAGGTGCTGACCAAGTGTTGTTACTTTGAAGCCGATCCATAGTCTAAGATGGCCACCAGAGAGGGACTTAGTTTAACATAGGACCCTATGGGAAATACATACAAATGTCTTCTTTTAGAGAACCACTAAATGGAATGAAATAAAACATGGCATGAATGTTCCTTAAGACGTGCTGACCAAATGATGTAACTATGTAGGCGATCAATCATTCAAGATGGCTGCCAGCGGGGACTTAGTTTAACATAAGACCCTATGGGAAATGCATACACATGTTTTCTTTTAGAGAACCACTGATCGGAATGAAACCAAACATGACATGAATGTTCCTAATGAGGTGCTGACCAAGTGTTGTTACTTTGTAGCCAATCAATCATCCAAGATGGCTGCCAAATGGGAACTTAGTTTAACGATGGACCCTAAGGGAAATATATACAAATGTCTTCTTCTAGAAAACCGCTTAATGGATTTAAACCAAATATAATATAAATGTTTCTTTTGAGGTGCTGACCAAGTGTTGTTACTTTGTAGCTGATTTGTCATCCAAGATGGCTGCCTGCGAGGGATTTCGTTTAACATAGGACCCTATGGACAATACATACAAATATCTTCTTTTAGAGAACCACTGAATGGAATGAAATCAAACATGGCATGAATGTTCCTTATGAGGTGTTAACCAAGTATTGTTACTTTGAAGCCGATCCATCATTCAAGATGGCCACCAGAGAGGGCATTAGTTTAACATAGGACCCTACGGGAAAAACATACAAATGTCTTCTTTTAGAGAACCACTAAATGGAATGAAATAAAACATGGCATGAATGTTCCTTATGAGGTGCTGACCAAGTGTTGTAACTTTGTAGCCGATCAATCATCCAAGATGGCTGCCAGCGGGGACTTAGTTTAACATGGGACCCTATGTGAAATACATACAAATGTTTTCTTTAAGAGAACCACTGAATGGAATGAAACCAAACATGGCATGGAAGTCAACATAAGCAAAATTGTCAATAGACATCTTGTTGGAGTTATTATCCTTATAAAGTCATTTTCTACAATTTCAATGAATTTATTGGTAATTTCTGTAAACTTTACAAAAGTATTCTGCTTTTGATTAAATTACGGGGCCAATATTAAACCAAATTAGGCCTCAATCATTATTAGGGTATCTGTTATGATTTTAATCTACTTTACATGATTTCCAAATCCAAAGTAGAATCAAGTGAGCGACACGGGCTCTTGAGAGCCTCTTGTTATTTGGTAAGAGTAATGATTTATTACCAGCTTGATTGACAAATTTCATGATCACCAAACAATCAGAGATAAGGTGGGACCATAATTGGAATGTCCCACCTCCTTAAATGCCAATCACATTGACCAAATTACCAATCAACCTCAGTCTTACATGATTAAGCAGATCCTTCATTATAATCTAAATACACAAATACTTGACCTCATTATTGAATAGATGTTAGATATACAGAAATGATATATTTATTCATTGCCTATTAATTTTAATCTACACAACATAAAATGATTCTATAAATTATGTCTGAAAGATAAATGTTTAAGAATTAACAAGATTTTTTTTTTTTTCAAAAGGAAAGACAAAGCATTAAATCTGAATATAAAGAAGGTTACCAGTTAAGAGCTATAATGTACTTGATAAATTTGTGCAATAGTCATCTGCAATGAATCAATAATTTAGGTTACACTTATCATTATTGGCTTGCAACAGTAATTAAAATTTACTGAGCATACCAATACTTTTTATAGTTTATTCCCATCAGATTTCTTTGAAGAGTATTAGTCTTTTTAACTACAGAGAGCGTATTTTTGCAACGAAGAATAAATCCTCATTTCAATAAAATAAGTTTTTCAATTTGTTTATGTTGAAATGGTACTTTTTCAATGCCTTTTTCTGGAAAATATTACATTATATTGAATTTAAATACACCCTACATCTTTTAATCTTCAGTGTCATATACTCATGATAATTATTTTCAAAATCAATAAGCAATTTTTAGATGAGAAACATATAGCAATGATTCAGCTTACAAAATGTCCACAAAACAACCTTTTTAGATTAATTTTTGGAGACAATAAAGATCTTAGTTTCAATCTAAAAAAAAAAGATGTGGTATGCTTGTCAATGAGACTACTCGATACAAGAGACCAAATGACACAGAAATTAACAACTATAGGTCACCGTACACGTCTATCTGCTGATTCTATTTCCTACGAGGATAATTGATAATCTTGATTAGAATAATCTTTATTTGGTAGTTTCTTTTGTTTCTAAAGATAAAATGTGAAAGAATAAACATGTAACATGGAACATTATGTGGTTAAGATATTAATAGCAATTTAAACAAAACTGTTGACCCCCTCTCATTGATTCATATTACGGAAATATGGTAGACAACTACTCACTAGCTACTTACTGGTTTATTTAGATAACAATATTCTACAAAAATAATATACAAATGTATACAAAAGTTAGTGACATTTGGAACAAGTCACATCTCTTCGAATACTCATCAAGTGAGCTCTTACAATCTTTTGATAAATTATTAGCTCAAAAATAACAATTTGAAAATTAAATGCACTTGTGTTGAAATCAGATGCCATATTAAGACCTTAAAGTAAAATGGGTAAATAGGTATAAAGTCTATTTTTACGTTTTTGTTACTTTGAATATATTAGGAGCCATGTAATTTTTTCATGGTTCAGTACCATAAGTTACAATAAAAACGTAAGGGTTGGCATTGTAAGGCATACAAGAAATGAAACCCTGCATATAAGTATTTTTGTTTTGTTTTAGCCTCAAATTGGCTGCTTACAGTGACAATATTTTGATTACTGATTATTCATTTTTTGTGCTGGTATATCACAGTTTAAGGTCAGGGAAGGGTTGAATGCCCACACACATGTTTATCCATGCCACGTTCTATAGGTAGCTGTCCTAAGTCATAGACTGTAACTCAGTGGTTGTAGCTTACAACATGGTTAGGGTTTTTCTCATTGTTGGAAGTAATACAGACCTCAACAAGAGACAACTTTCTGTACAAATTGCAGATAACATATCAGTTCCATTCTTGTTGACCTAGTCTGTATACTTGACTAGACAATGTTTTCCCCAATATACTTTTTTTTATTATTGAAACCGTTTTGACTATATTTAACAGGTATTTTGTTAAACTTGTTTTATGATCATTTACAATCAGGTATCAATTTCCATCTTTTTGATGACCTGATTATGGTTATGAAACTTAAAATCAAAAACATCAAAATAAGAATGGCAGTGGATTTATTCAGAAAATTAATGAAAAATAACGAAAACAGAAAACGTCTATGTGTCGAGCAGTTTTGTCTTTCATGACAAATTAATTTTTGCATTTATAAAGTCTGATGAAATGAACTTGGTTGACTTGAAATCTTAATGACCTACAGTATATTTTGTGTCTGCTTTACATTGTCAGAACTATTTGAAAACACAACAACATTAGTATAAAAAACTTAGTGAGTTATTTAGATATATAATATAAATATATGCGTTTGTGCATCTAAATCAGTTATGTTGGTTGATACTATATGAATCACTTTATTTGTCAAAATAGCATTTCTATCTTTTTTAGATCTTTAATAATATTGATCAAGTTGACAAATCTAACGGTAAAAAACACAATATACCTGAGATAATAAATTAAACGAATTAGGCCAATAACATACAGTTTTAAAAAAAAATTGTTAGACTTATATTTCTTATAAAAGTAATGTAGAAGTTAAAGTTAAGACTTAACTTCAACAGAGAGTGACAACAGAAACATTTATTTATTCAATCAAAGTCATAGAAAACAGTTGAGTAAAACATTTATTGCCTCCAATTAAATGCATAATATGCTATCCATTACCATAACATGTCATCTGCTGTATTGTAGACTGTCATGGCAAAGGAAGAACACGAAGTGACCACAGGAGCCCTCCATCAAATAGGTCTAACTTATGTCTTCAAAGGTAATAGTTTTATTTCATTCAATGGTATGTGTGGAATATATCAATGAGACAGCAACCCATAGATTTAAACATAAAAAGACGTTAAGATTTGTATATGGTCAAATGATACTTAGGAATGTTATGGTATACATAAAAAAGATAGCAACATAATGATTTAAAAATTAAAAGAATTTTAGGTTTCAACAATTGGCACCAAATAATGTGTCATCCACATGTCAATGTCTATGCAATATGTGATGCTCTAAACAGTCAGACGTTTATAAAAATTGTGAATGTTTATATTGAAGCCTATCAGATATTTATAGTCAGCAGCACATTTAAACAAATTCAAATGCACAAAAACATTAAAATATAACTTTAAACATCCACTGGTAATGATTTTATAAATGGTTTGAAACAGTATGATGTTGCGCCAAACTGTAAAAAGGATTTCCGTTTTTGCCTGGATGTCTATTCCTGGTCGGCTATATCGTCCTCAAATTTGCACTTAATTTGGCTCTGGATTTTAAACAGCCATCTATCATCATAGTCTATATGTTTATAGTTTAATTTGTATACTCCTTACTGAAAAGGTAATTGTTTTGTTATAGAGTCCACAGCTTATTTATGAAAGTTTGATTTGGTATGTGGCTTAGAACTTTCATTTTTGAGTTGTTTTGTTTAAGTGATTTTCACTTCTGTATTAAAGTTTGATTTGGTATGTTGTTTAGATCTTTTAATGTTGAATTGTATTATGTAAGGGATTTTCACTTCTGTATTAATGTGGTATGGAACTTTTAATGTTGAGTTGTATTGTTTCAGCGGTTTTCACTTCTGTATTAAAGTTTGATTTGGTATGTTGTTTAGATCTTTTAATGTTGAATTGTATTATGTAAGGGATTTTCACTTCTGTATTAATGTGGTATGGAACTTTTAATGTTGAGTTGTATTGTTTCAGCGGTTTTCACTTCTGTATTAAAGTTTGATTTAGTATGTGATTTAGAACTGTCAATGTTACATCATTCAGAAGGATTGTTTTTCGCATTTTTGTCAACTTCTATATGAGGATTTCATTTCATTTCAAACTTTTTGTTAAAAATTCTGTAATTTTTGTAACTCAGCATGAATTATTAAACACACATTTTTTTTCATAACTTTTATTTAGACATGCTTTGATATTTGATCTATATACATGTAGAACTTTATAATGTTGAATTGTACTATGTACAGCTCTGTTCTGTCTAGCGATACTTTGAATTTTTATTATAAATTCCAGTTAGCTTGAGATTTTGTCTCACCTTAGATAAAAGTAGCAGCATGCGAGACTTAGGTATTACTATCTGGCAGCGGCAGTGTTAATTATTTGTATAAAGCTTTATATTTCAAAAGATAGAAGACCTGGATGCTTCATATCTTGTATGCAGATACCTAATGTTACGAAATTTCTATCCGTCATATGTCAATTTACCTTTACCTCATGTCCATTGTGCAGTAACTGAAAGAAAAACAAATATAGTTTTTTTTGTCATTTAAAATTCACACTTATTATGAGTATTAGGATATCTATGTTTGGTATATGTTTTCCTTGCAATGTGTACATATCTGCCAGACAGGGTTCACCTGATCTCGATCTCATATCATGAATCAGTGATCAAGGTTAAAGTAACGTGATAAGGTCCGTTTCTCGATAAGTAGTAGGTCAACTATATGTGGTGTATGGAATGATTGTAATGGGTACATGTTAGTCTGGCAGGTAAAATCTGACATTTACCTTATTTTCATGGTTCATTGGTCAATGTTAAAGGTGCATTAGCTACGAGATATAAAGCAAATTAAAACATGATTATTTTTAGGTTCAATCAATAATGAAAGTGAAACAAGCAATACGCTTTTAGCAGCTCGTTTAGGTCAATTTTGTCAAAATAAACTAAGAAACAGCGCTGATAACTTATTCAATAATTCGACCTCATTGAATCCGTATTGATGTGACCTTCATTTAACGAATTAGCTAGAGATTGGTAAGGCATGTATAAATAGTGTTCAGCCATTAAAAGAAAAAAAATGTCAACATTGAAAGTGAAACAAAGGTGTACCATTTCGTTGACCTTTTTCGTCAACAAAAATCATTCTTATACAGGTAAAAACAATGATTTAACTTATTTTCTTAACCTATAACATGAAATCAAACAAAACTTGAAAAGTCCAATTGCACGAGGTCGATATTTATTTATTGCTTTTTTTTGTTTATATCGGATTATGTGACTGTCAGCAGACTTCGGAGGTCATCTCGAGGGTTAATTAGATGGCGTCTAAACAAAAATACACACGAAATTCTGATATATAATATCGAGTTATTGCATTGTTTGTTTATTTCAGACTCATTGTAATTTGGATATACAGTTTAGTATGTAATGAATCAAATATGAGAATTTGAGTCAAATCTGTGATCATAAATTTGACAGCTTAATTTACTGAGCTAATGTCCGTTTGCATTTTTGTGTTTTTGTCTATTTTTGAAATAATTATAGTAATAGGTCAGCTATTTTTGTATGAAATAAATTTAAGGTGTACATGTTTGTCTGGCAGGTATAATCTTAACTTGACACCGTTTCATGGTTAATTGGTCAATGTTAAGTTTTTGTATTTTGGTTTGTTTTTCAATTACCATAAGCAATTGGTCAACTATGTTTGGTGTTAAGATAAATTGTAAGATGTATATGTCTGCCTGACAGGAAGAATCTGACCTTGACCTCATTATCACAGATCTATTAAAAATGTTAAGTTTATGTGATACTTTTAGTAAAACCTTTATCCTTAATCTTTCAACATAAAATCAAGGGTCAGTAAAGCAGGCGAGACATTTCAGCGTATGCACTCTATTTTTAAAATGAATAAGAATATGTGATGGACAACTTCATATGAAACATCTTGTAGATACCGCTTGTATCTTTTTTAGCAGGAAAATCACAAAAATTCATGTCTGAATTTTATAATTTATACTAATTTTGGTTTTAAACCTACAGGCCCCAAAGAAGGAAGACAGATTTTTTCTGATATAGAATTCCAAGGTCTGTTAACCAGTGGTTCATACAAATGTTTTTGGAATCGTGTTTTTCTTACTGGTCCATTTGGGGTGGGGAAGACATGTTTAGCAAAGATTTTGGTGGGAGATGAGGCTCCTGAGCAGCGGGAGTCAACAGATGGTATATGGATTTATCTCGGCAGAGCTGGAATGAATATAAAGGAACGTTGTTGGATTTTCTTACAGAAAGGTATTCAAAATATAAACAATAGAAATTGACGCCTGTAAATGAATCTCAGAGTAATGTGTTTTACTCAGAGAAGGGGTCTGATCTTAGATAACTGGTCAAAGTTCGAGTTATAATGTAAGGTAAATATGTATCTCCAGTTATATTTGGAATTAAACTTCAGATTAGAGTCAATGTTTTAGTTAGAGTTATATTTCAAGGTATTTTGATGTTAATTAATACTTTTAAAAACATTTCTTATAGTTTGGGTTTTTCAGTTTAAACAAAAAACAATTTAAAATGCCACTTTTAATGTAACATCTAAATCTAAGTTTTGTTATTTAATTCACTCTTATTGAGTATATATTACTGATATTGATATTGATATTATCTGGTAGGAGATCTGAAAACCTTTATAGTCTTTATTATTTGTTTTCTTTGGATGCTGTCTATCACCTTGGTTTTTTGTTTATTCTTTTGACTTTAGTGGTTAAATCATTAGTAATGCCCCAACATTTCTTATATTTTTTCTTATATTTACACTATTGAAAGCATCATCAGCCATAGCCTTTTTGCTTTTTGTGTTTAGGGTATATGTAGTAGATAAATAGAGTAGTATACCGCTGTTCAAGTCATAATTTCGATTAAGCACAAACAAATCATGGTAACAAAGTAAAACCGAGGGAAACATAATCCCGAAAGGATTCCACGGTACCTTTTGCAGCTTTCCAGGGGTGGTTCGGATAACGGAGGAATCTACCAGTACATACGTACATACATACATACATCTATCTATAATAGAAAAACAAAGGACCAACAAGAAACACTGAACTACAACAGTATACAAACGCCACATATCATGAAAACAGACTGTAGATAACAACTGCCATATTTCTGACTTGGCACAGGACCTTTTAAGAAAAAATGGTGGGTTGAACCTGGTTTTATGACTAGCCAAACCTCCTGCTTATATGGCAAAATTAAAATACCGCTAAAATGAAAACACTACGTGACAGGAATACAGTACAAACAAACGCTAGAACACTCAGCACAGAGAAATACATAAATAAATTATATAATAGTACTATACAACATGTAAACCGCAGAATAACAGCAGACACCTCCCATAATTTTCGAATTGTAGAAATATGTTTCAAGGTAAATATGAAATGACATGGTAATATCTGTAGCCTTAATGTAAATAAGTCGTTTGAAATACATGAATAATTGGAAAATTCTGGCCTGCTCAGCATGCTCAGATAATTTTTTCAAAATTTGCCTCAAACAAAAAAAACATTGTGTAATTCCTGCAACATTTTAATACAATACGTTGGTTTCCCTCCCGAAGACTACAAAATTCCCTTATCATCAAGCCAGCAGACGCTTTATTTAATATATAACAGTCTGTCACTATCCAAGAACTATCTTTGTAACAATATAGGTTATATGTTAGCATTAGCTTGTGTTGGGATGGATGTTCAAATCATATCGTATAAATTTGAATTTTCTACATTTTCAAGTTTAATTTTTAAATTTTTGAAGAAAAAAAAATTCCTTGATTTGATGCTTTGTGGAGTCAAACTTGTCTTAATCTCTTAGATACTCCTTTATCAATTTTAATAATCAAATGTAAACAACTTAAATGCTTGATTACTGTTTCAATTACTGCAGGGTTAAATGCATAAATTACTTCGAATACATTTGTAAGAGTTGTCGCCAATACTCTAGGTCTACCTTTAAATTAAGTCCATGATTTTCTTGTTTGAAATGTTTTACATTGTATTGTGCCAGGGCCAGGGGTAATTGTAGTCATTAATCAGTTGTAATCGATTACGTTTTACAATGTAATCATATGTCACCATGCAATGCCTTTCTTAACAATACGTCGTAATTTAAGAGTATTTCCTAAGTTGATGTGAATTTATGTTTTTTAATGATTAAAACACATGTCTTTGAAACTAACTTTTGTTTGATAAACCAGATTATATATTATTTCAGGGACTATCTTGAATGCAACCGTGCAAAGTTTGCTACGGAGTAAAGAAATTTCAGGTGTTACAAAATCTAACGAGGAGATGGCAGATCCTCTTGATGCTAAACATAGGGAGAAAATCCAAAACAAAGGTTCTGTATCATCCAGTTCAGGTCATGTTACATCAAGTCCAAGTGCTGCAAAACGTGAAGAGGAAATGACAGACCGAAGTGGTGTTAAGTCTAATGTCAGTACTCCAGTTGTACACACAATAAAGTCAAAGTTTAAAGCATTCTTCAGTCTCCCAATTCGAAAACAGAAAGTATTTAAAGGTATTTGTTGTTAATAATATGTGTGAATGTAAAAATCATATCATATTGTGTGAACGTCTAGTTGTTCTTATCAGTGTTGTGCCAAACCTTGTCCATGTCACAGTTTATGTTAACCAACAACGTCTTTAAACAGTGTATTGATAGCTGTGAAATTGCACCACAAGGTTCCATACTTCAAACAAGGTTGGGATTGATTTTGATGGTTATCGCCCAAACTGTTTAAAAGGACCAATAACATAGGATGTACATGTTGCCTGACAATAATTTGTGTATAAGTCTATGGATCTCTATGAAATTGTACTACAAGGTGTCATACAACAAGAGAAAGGTTGGGATTTTTTTTGTGTTATTGTCCTAACTGTTTAGGAATGAGGGGTCCAACAAAAAGTAGTTTTTATTTTTCAGGACTTGTGTATAAATGTATTGATATCTGTGAAATTGTACAACAAGGTTCCATACTTCAAAATGAAAGTTGGGATTGATTTTGGGGGTTATGGGCCAAACTGTTTAAAAGGACCAAAAAACTAGGATTTAAATGTTCACGGACAATAGCTTGTGTATAAGTCTATGGATCTCTATGAAATTATAGCCAAAGGTTCCATACAAAAAAGAAAGGTTGGGAATGATTTTTGGGATTATGGACAAACTGTATAGGAAGTAGTGGCCTTAAAGACTAGGATTACCATGTTACCAGACAAGAACTTTAGTATAAGTCTATGGGTCTCTGTGAAATTTAAACTACAAGGCACTGTACCGAAAATGGATAATTTGGAATGATTTTGTGGGTTAAGGCCATAAACATTTTACTAAAAGGGGCTAAACGAAACTTTTTTGTACTTTGTATCAATTGTTTTTTCTTGATATAATCGGAGTATTATTCAAGGAATTGAAGTCATTTGTGTCTTTAATATGCTTAATCTAACCATGTATTCATATTATGGATTTTGGACTCTTTTTCCGTCTGTACGTACTTTTTCAAATCGGCCCAAATCGGGGTCTTAATAAACCATAATGATTGTTCAAATTAAACAAAAAAATAATTCATAAAGTTCTTTGATATGCCGGATGTGTATTTAAATTATGGCCTTGTGTCCCTATTATCAATTTGGTCAATATTGAGTTCCAAAGAACTCTAAATTAAAGTTATGTTGATTTCATCTGAAATCTAATTGTAAAGATTCTTTGATATGCTTTATCTAACTATGTATTTATATTTTTTATGTTTTACTATTATAAGAGAAAGGCCAATTTCAAACTTTTTAAGTTGAAGGTCTTAGACAACATTCATTCTGAGGCATATCAACTAGCGCACTTTAGACCATTTATTTAACTAACCTTTATGCCAAAACATAGATGTCACCATATATTTTTTGCGACACATATCCTCTCCGGACGTGGTTGCATCTAAATACACCCCACACAGCTAAATGTATCACCAATTTTAATAAGGTTTTTACTGCATAGAATGGAAAAGTCCAAAGGATGACTATATTCTATTCCCCAGTCTAACATTTGGGTGTAAAATGGTTTAGTACATACATGTATCATTTTAAAGATCTATAAAATAATCTATGCTTTTGAATCATTGATTTATTTGTATTCAAACATGGCTGTTAAATGAATATCAGTGCAATATATTTCAAAGTCAAAACATTTGAAAAGTGTAACAATGCTTTGTGAATTTTGATTTGTCTGTAAAAAAAAACTTGTTTGACAAACTTTAAAATGCACAATTATCCTTTTTTTTTTTACCAATTACACGCATGATATATGTGATTAAGAGACACACAAATATATAACAAATATACACGACTATCTTTAAACTTTGTTTCAATTATCAATTCTTACATACAAAAAGCAACTTATTTTTTGTTTTCAGGTCAAAATGATGCAAATCTTAAATCACAAGACGATAAAAGTGCTATGATACATGAAGCTACTAGAGATGATAGTGCTGGGAGGGAGGGAGACTCGGAAGATAAATTGACTGCCAAGGACATGTCAGAGGATGAAATTATAAAGCTAGTCCGATCTGAATGTAATAAAGGCAATTACGAAATGGTAATTGTCCCCATTGATTTGTGGGACTTTGGCGGTCAAAAAATATATCACATGACACACCAACTATTTATTACTAGCAGAGGTACTTTTCTATTGATTTTTAATGGCAGCAAAGGTATTAATGAAGAAATACCAGACTATATAGACCTTCCTGGCTGCCATAATCAAAGGAATACAGCAGGTATGTTATCATTTATAAATGGGTAAAACAACCTGTCTATTTACATACAAATAAGATATTTTATAGTCTTTCAATATAGGTAAACTGTTGATTGCCTTAGCTCTCCTTGAATATTAACAAACAATAGGCTCATTTGTGAAGATGAATACAGCAGCAAGATCTTGTTTTATGGTTTAATTTAACTTCGAGATAAACTGACTATTCGTATTGGTGGAGGTTTTTTTTTTTTACTGTATTAAAGAAGGAAGAATTTCATTGCTCTCTTTTATATTATACTAATGGAGAGAAGGACCAATTTCTGATGGTAGACAATCACCTTCTCGTGAATGATTTATATGTATAAGAGCAATTACAAGATCTGTTTAAACATTAAATTCGTTTGTTGGCTAATTCAGTTTATGAGTTATGCAAATAAAAAGTAAAATCACAACAATACTAAACTCCGAGGAAAATTCAAAACGGAAAGTCCCTAATCAAATGGCAAAATCAAAAGCTAGAACACATTAAACTGTCATATTCCTGACTTGGTACAGGCATTTTCTTATATAGAAAATGATGGATTAAACCTGGTTTTATAGCTAGCTAAACCTTTCACTTGTATGACAGTCGCATATAATTCCATTATATTGACAACGATGCGTGAACAAAACAAGCAGACATAATAGGTAAAACTGTATTGTTTGAGGCTATGTCTGCGGGAGCAGCAACATATTTATCCTGAAAAGAAAGATAATAAAGCTAACTTCTGAAATGATTGAAGAGTTGCTTTTGTTTTAAATTCAACAAGGCATATTACAATTGACAAGATATCTTTGATTGCTATGATTAGAGAGTGGTTGTGGGAATTAATTATTTTCATTTATTTATAAATGCCTATTGTTAAGCAATTATTGGAATGCAATTGTATACTTTCAAACATATTAACATGAATATGTGTTTATTGCAGTCTATCTCGTCCATTGGGTTAATTCAGTCCTTACATATTGTAAGACTTTGACTGAAAATGGAGGATACCCAAAAATCAAATTTGTTGCCACACACAAAGATCAAGTAAAAGTAAGTACTGAAATAAATTCAAAAACTATGAAACTCTTAAATTTTGCCATGTAAGACAGAGTAGTAAATGAATGTTGTGTTGACAACTCATCCGTCAGTGAACCCCTTTATCCCTGAAGCTTGAGGAAAGATTGAAATATGTTAAAGATATGAACCTGCCGTAATGAAATTGTTTGTGGCATTTTGATCATCCGTCTAATTTACTAGATGGTTCATATATTAGTATAAATAACTCTAACAGTTTTTAGCCCAGACTACTGAATTTTCACAGAAAGATTGCACACAAGTGATGCACTACTATTACAAAATTGTTTGAAGATTTTTCCCCCATTTTTCTTACTTCACAAATGAGTGATTTTCAACACAAATTATAAATAATGAAACAGATTTTTGCTATCAGCTCCTATTGTTGATAACATAGATCTATTAAACCATGAAGAATGTATTGTAGTGGTGAACTTGCAATTTATTTTTTTTTTAAATATTTTCTAATTGTTCTAGACTAAATCAATCTTCATTATATTTTTAAATCATTAAAAGTTGTTGACACATTCTATTTTCATTCCAGATCTTTGAAAGTACACAAAAATTTAGCCGGAACATTTCATAGGACATTCTGAAATATGATCCATCCATAATAATGGCCATTTTTGCTTGAAATATTAAATGGCGGTTGTAGGCAATTTTGGACCTATCCCTCCTAACAGCATCAGTTAGTGCCCATGTGACAATTTAAATGGTCAATTGCTATCTCCTTTGGAATTCTCTGAATATTCAAACAACCCATTTTGGAATTGCTCCTGATCATACTGTTGTAATATAACTCATATTTAATGCTTCCTCAACAAATGTACAACGCAATGTAATGTTAATTAATATATTTTTCTGTATACCTTTGTTCAATTTAGGTGATTCCAGAATGAAATGATATATAAACTCTTGCAATTAATATTTCAATTTTAAGCAAATGTCGAAAAGATTTTGGCTAGTATCTCATTGTTTTATATATCTTTGGGTATATTAAGATTAGTTTTAGTAGAAAAAAAAGTTTGAATTATCCTGTACACAAAAAAATCAATATTATCTCTTGAATAACATGATTGTATATATAAAGTTTTGATGTTTGTATATTTTAGGGTGATGTTGAGGAACAGAGACGATTCTTAGAAGACTCAATCGAAGAACTCTTCAAAAATCATGGAGGGAAACAACATCTTCAATATCAACCACTTATTTTTGTGGATGCAAGAAACAAGGAGGACGAAGAATTAGACACATTGAAGAAGCAGTTGGTGGAAGTTGCATTAGACCATCCTTGTTGTGGTGAATTGATGCCAACCAAGTTTGTACCCCTTGAACTTCAATTAGCCAAAAAAGTAGAGGAAAAAAAGAAAATACTATCCATTGGTGAACTGAATGACCTTAACCAGCAAAATGAAAAACATGCATTAACCCCTGATCAGCTAAAAAAGTTCCTGAAGGTTAACCATGCCCTGGGAAAACTGATCTACTTTGATGAAGCTTGCTTGAGAGATAATGTTATTATTGATCCAGTGTTTTTGGTAGACGTGCTACGTTCCATCGTTACTGATGAACAGTTTTGGCCAGAACATCTCATTGAAATATTAGGAGACCTCAAAGACAGTGGAAAATTGTTGAAAAAGGATTTATATGAAATATGGAAACAAGACTGTTTCAAGGAGATCTCAGAGCATAAAGACTATATGGTAGAAATGTTAGTTCATTTGGACATAATTTGTAGACAAAAAGACGATGAATATGAATCAGAATATTTCTTAGTTCCATGCATGATTAGTACCAAAAGAGAAGACAGCCCCCAATTAGAGTTTGACAGAAGCATTCATCTGGCTTATAGGTTTAAGGAGGAAGTTGTACCACCTGCTATCCTTTACCGATTCATTGCGAATTTCATATCAATGTGGAAGCTTCGAGTCAGTGCTAAATCCAGTCGCCTGATGATCTTTACAGACAGTGCTGATGTTACAATTGATAATGAGCATGACATGAGAATTGACATTCAGGGAAATAGATTTATAGTTTCTCTTTCTCACAAAGAAAGCCAAATTTCCATTGTACCTACAATTGCATCAACAGCCCAGGAATGCCTCACGCATGCAATTACAAATATTTCCAATTTCTATTGCTCAGTTTCAGATGATTCTGATTGTACTAGAGATTTGCCTTTTACTATTCAAATTGGTATAGTTTGCGGGTCAGATCTTTGCTTTTTTGACCACATGTTGAGATCTAAGAAGGAATGGACATGCCCCGATCACAATAGAATACACAAGACTTATATTGTGTCCAGATGGTTTGCAGACAAGGTATCTATCTTTTATAGAATTTAAATTTTTTTTTGCTGTTGGATGAAGAGTCAGTTCATCTTTAAATGAATTTTAGGCTTGAACGGTCATTTTGAACTTATAATCATATGAAAAGTTTGAACAATTCATTTTTCAGATGTGTTCATTATTTCAGTAAATTTTCAGACTTGTCCTTGCGGTACATTCAGTACTGTTCAGATTATTCCTTATTCTTATTAATTCAGTACTGTACAGAAGCTTTTTAGACAATTCAGTATGATGCTGATGTATACAGGTAGATAAAAACTACTTAACAATCTGAACATAGACTGAACAGATCTTAATTGACTGCATGGGGAATTGTCTGAATAGTTCTGAATTTACCGCATTGGATGAGTAAATGAAGTATGAAAATTGACTGCATTACTATCAATGAGTTGATAATGTATTATTCGGTCTTTAAAAGAAACCAAAAAAACCCAAAAAAAAACAACGCTTTCTTAATTTCATGCGTCCAAAGCACTTTTCTGATTTGATCTTTATCAGGAACGCTTAATGCTAAATGTTTGAAAGTCGTGGATGTATAAGAATAGAAACAGTTTGTAAAAATCTGTAAGAAAGGGTTCAATCACCATTTTGGGTTCTATGCAGACAAAATCAAATATCAACAAGAAAAATGAATCAAAATGCTGATCTAAGAATACTCACAGTTACTAGTTGGTATAAATACAAAATCCACTAGAACATCAATACATGCAGCTGCATCAGATTAAGTGTTAAGACATCATAAGTTCATTAAAATACAATTTAGTTTATCTTATCTTACAGTTACATACGGAGGATGACAGATGCCCAGAAGATTGTCCTGGTAAGAAATATCTTAGTATTACCAACATTAGTTTGATTTGCTAGTATTTATAATATTACACCTAAAAACATTATTTTAAAGGTTTGTGTGTTCGTTTATAAACATAAAAGAAAATTTTCTAGAGAAACCAATGAGACAAACCCAAAAAAATATATAAATCAATATGAATAAAAGGCAAATGAGATATTTTCTATATAAAGCATAATATAAACACATACCTATTGATAAGGTCGAAGTCCAATCAGATGTTTAATGTACATAAGCGAAACAGTAACCTATCAACACATGCTAATCTATAGGTGTAATACCACCAAATCATAGTACGTCACATCCGGTTGCATACGAGAAAGGGTCGAAAAAAAAAAAAATATTCCCTTGAATTTGACAGTTGTAGGTAATTAATCCTACATTTCATTGCAGTAAAAAATTTCTGGATCATAAACATATATTTTGGGTATTTCAAAGAACTATTATTAGCTCACCTGGCCCACAGGGCCAAGTGAGCTTTTCTCATCACTTGGAGTCCGTCGTCGTCGTCCATCGTCGCCGTCGTTAATTTTTATACGAACGCAAAACAATTTTGTGGTCGTATATTGGTATGACGTTGGCGTCGTCGTCGTCCGGCGTCGTCGTCGGAAGACACATTGGTTTTTGCACTCTAACTTTAGTTTAAGTGAATGGATCTCTATTAAATTTTACCATAAGATTCAATACCACAAAAGGAAGGTTGGGATTGATTTTGGGGGTTATGGTACTAACAATTAAGGAATTAGGGGCCAAGAAGGGGCCAAAAATAAGCATTTTTGTAACTTCCAGACATAACTTGTGTGTTAGTGTATGTATTTCTCTGACATTGTACCACAAGGTTCCATATCACAAAGGGAATGCTGGGATTGATTTTGTGGGTAATTGCCTCCAAATTTTAGGAATTAGGGGCCAAAAAAGGGGCAAAAAACAAGCATTTTTCTTGTTTCATGATAATAACTTGTGTGTAAGTGTATGGATCTTTCTGAAATTGTACTACAAGGTTCCATATCACAAAGGGAAGGCTGGGATTGATTTTGGGGGTAATTGCCTCAAAATTTTAGGAATTAGGGGCCAAAAGGGGCAAAAAAACAAGCATGTTTCTAGTTTCAGGACAATAACTTGTGTGTAAGTGTATGGATCTTTATGAAATTGTACTACAAGGTTCCATATCACAAAGGGAAAGCTGGGTTTGAGTTTGGGGGTAATTGCCCTAAACGTTTAGGAATTTGGGGTCAAAAAGGGGTAAAAAAACAAGCATTTTTCTAGTTGCCACACAATAACTTGTGTTCAAGTGTACGGATCTCTCTGAAATTGTACTGCAAGGTACCATACCACAAAGGGAAGGCTGAGATTGAGTTTGGGGGTTATGAATTATAAGGGGGGTCAAAAAATTTGAGGGGGGATTTTTTTTTCCTTTTTTTTCTTTAAAATTTTCCATTTTCAATTGGTTATTTCTGATTTATATTTAAAAGCAAGTAATAATGAATAATGATATGGTTTGAATAGGTAAATTAACATTTTTTAAGTTCTTAGACCACATTCATTCTGTGCCAGAAACCTATGCTGTGTCAAATATTTAATCACAATCCAAATTCAGTGCTGTATCAAGCTTGAATGTTGTGTCCATACTTGCCCCAACTGTACAGGGTTCGACCTCTGCGGTCGTATCAAGCTGTGCCCAGTGAAGCATTTTATTTACATTTTGAACTTCTTCTATAGAACCACTGAATGGAAAGAAACCAAACATGGCATGAATGTTCCTTATGAGGTGCCGGCCAAGTGTTGTTACTTTGTAGCCGATCAATCTTCCAAGATGGCCGCCAGCGGGGGACTTAGTTTAAAATAGGACCCTATGGGATATACATACAAATGTCTTCTTTTTGAGAACCACTTAATGGAATGAAACTAAACATGGCATGAATGTTCCTTATGAGGTGTTGACCAAGTGTTGTTACTTTGATGCCTATCCATCTTCCAAGACGGCCGCCAACAGGGGACTTTGTTTAACATTGGACCCTATGTACAATACATACAAATGTTTTCTTTTAGAGAACCACTAAATGGAATGAAACAAAACATGGCATGAATGTTCCTTATGAGGTGTTAACCAAGTGTTGTTACTTTAAAGCCGATCAGTCATCCAAGATGGCCACCAGAGAGGGACTTAGTTTTACGTAGGACCCTATGGGAAATACATGCAAATGTCTTCTTTTAGAAAACCACTAAATGGAATGAAATAAAACATGGCATGAATGTTCCCTATGAGGTGCTGACCAAGTGTTGTAACTTTGTAGGTAATCAATCATCCAAGATGGCCGCCAGCGGGGGACTTAGTTTAGATCCGAGCATCACTGATGAGTCTTAGGAAGACGAAACGCGCGTCTGGCGTATTAAATTATAATCCTGGTACCTTCGATAACTATTAACATAGGACTGTATGGACAATACATACAAATGCTTCTTTTAGAGAACAACTGAATGGAATGAAACCAAACTTGACATGAATGTTCCTTATGAGGTGCTGAACAAGTGTTGCTACTTTGAAGCCGATCCATCATCCAAGATGGCCACCAGAGAGGGACTTAGTTAAACGTAGGACCCTATGGGAAATACATACAAATGACTTCTTTTAGAGAACCACTGAATGGAATGAAATAAAACACGGCATGTATGTTCTTTATGAGGTGCTGACCAAGTGTTGTAACTTTGTAGGGAATCCATCATCCAAGATGGCTGCCAGTGGGTGACTTCTTTTATTATTATTTATTTATTTTTTATTTTTGGTGTTTTAACGCCACTTTTAAGCACCGTTTTTTGGGCTATTTCGTGGCGGCCAGTTTTTATTGGTGGAGGAAGCCGGAGTGCCCCGAGAAAACCACCGACCTTCGATAGGAAAGTGACTTCTTTTAACATAGGACCCTATGGGAAATACATACAAATGTCTTTTTTTAGAGAACCACATGACATGAATGTTCCTTATGAGGTGTTGACCAAGTATTGTTACTTTGATGCCTATCCATCTTCCAAGACGGCCGCCAGCAGGGGACTTCGTTTAACATTGGACCCTATGTACAATACATACAAATGTCTTCTTTTAGAGAACCACTAAATGGAATGAAACCAAACATGGCATGAATGTTCCTTATGAAGTGTTGGCCAAGTGTTGTTACTTTGAAGCCGATCAGTCATCCAAGATGGCCACCAGAGAGGGACTTAGTTTTACATAGGACCCTAAGGGAAATACATACAAATGTCTTCTTTTAGAGAACCACTGAATGGAATGAAATAAAACATGGCATGTATGTTCTTTATGAGGTGCTGACCAAGTGTTGTAACTTTGTAGGGAATCCATCATCCAAGATGGCTGCCAGTGGGTGACTTCTTTTAACATAGGACCCTATGGACAATACATACAAATGTCTTCCTTTAAAGAACCACATGATATGAATGTTCCTTATGAGGTGTTGACCAAGTGTGGCTACTTTCTAGCAAATCCATTAACCAAGATGGCTGCCAGAGGGGACTTAGTTAAACAAAGAACCCTATGGGAAATATATACAAATATCTTCTTCTAGAAAACCGCTTAATGGATTGAAACCAAACATGGTATGAATGTTTCTTTAGAGATGCTGACCAAGTGTTGTTACTTTGTAGCTGATTTGTCATCCAAGATGGCTGCCAGCAGGGGAAGTAAGTTTAACCAAGGACCCTTTGGGAAATACATACAAATGTTTTCTTCTAGAGAACCACTGAATAGAATGAAACCAAACATGGCATGAATAATCCTAATGAGGTGCTGACTAAGTGTTGTTACTTTGTAGCCGAACCATCATCCAAGATGGCCGCCAGCAGGGGACTTAGTTTAACATAATGACCCTACGGAAATACATACCCCAAGATTTTTTATCAAATTACGCGGCCAATATTAAACCAAATTTGACCTCAATAATTATTAGGGTATCTGTTATGATTTTAATCTATTTTTACATGACTTCCAAAACCAAAGTAGAATCAGGTGAGCGACACAGGCTCTTGAGAGCCTCTACTTTTTTTTATTTGGTGTTTCTATAGAATATTTTGGAAACTTGAGGTGACATGGTTACTAAAGCTTGTACACAGGTATAAAAGAGGTGAACATTTGATTGGTTACTTCCAGTGATGTTATTTTCTTATATGGAATAAAATGTTATGTGAAATTTTGTCTATAGTACTGGACAGGATAAAACTTTACTCATGCCAAGTATTTCTTTATTTGAAACAAAGATATATTCTGCATTTTTTTTTTGAAAAGTGCAAATTTTACAAAGACTAATAGGGGAAAATCAATGGTGGTATTTCACCTATAAGGTTAAAAACAAATCTTATTTTGGATGTACATTTTAATATATGACAGTAATCACTTAACACACAGTAATCAATAAGATTAAATACAAATCAGATATTAGACTTGCATAAAAAAAAATCATCGAAAATACCAGGCTTGTAATTTTAACACCAGACACACCTTTAATATTCAGAAGACTTATCAGTGATACTTGAATAAAAAATCATTAGGATAAATGCCAATTACATCATGTACATATTGGATGTACATAAATGACACTTACCCATCCACACATGCCAATCGATTGGTGTACATAAATGACATTGAAATATTAACACATGCCAACCTATAAAATTAAAAGCAAATCATACATTAGATTTACATAAGTGAACCAGTAACCTATCAATTCACATATTGCTAACTCTATTTTTGAAAGACTATATGTTGATCAATGTATGTCCTTGTTATTTGTGTCGTTGGGTTGCTGTCGCATTGATGTTTTCTCTACATCTCCTTCATTTATACCTCTGATCAGTATTATTTATGAGTGATAGCACAGTTAAACTTGTTCAAACTGAAAATTCTATGATGTCTTGTCTACTAGTCTAAATTAAGCAGAGATTTAAATAAGAATAAGATAAATCAGAATTTTTTTGTGCATTTAATCTTGCAAAGTTTTAATTTGCAGTAATGTAAGTTACGATATATTACAGGTCTAGATATGGCATGGTTAGATAGCAATCCAGATGATAGACACTTGGGACGCTTAGCAGCTGAAATGACAATGGACGAAATACGAAAAATATATATGCACCTAAAGGAAAAGAAACCTGCTCAGTCTTGGGAAATAATTAATGAGTCAATCAACAAAGGATCTTTTGATATCAAAATCAACGCTCTATATGACTGGAAGAAGAGTTCATTGTATGCCTCATTCAAGCAGCTTCAGCATAGCATGAAAGTTGAAGATATTGACATTCACAAATTATGTCAGGTACAGATATATGTTTTATGTTATTTTACATAAAGCCAATAGTAGTATTCTGCTGTTCAATAGTCATAAATCGATTTAACTGAAACAAATCCGGGTCACAAACCAAAACTGAGGGAAACACATCAAATATAAGAGGGGAAAAATACGGAACAACGTGCCCAAGTACCATTTTCACAGAGTTACCTTATAATTATCTATTTTCACTTTGCCAGAAAATATTAAAATGGATTAAAAACAATGAAATAGAAAGACAAAATCTTTTACTATTGTAATTTTCAGCAAGTAATGCTCCTCAAATTTTTTGATTGATTTAGATTTCCAAAAATGCAGGTCTGGTGTTCCAAATTATTTGTTTGGTATCTTGGATGATTTTTGTTTGTCCTCATTTTAAGAGTGTCCTCTCTCAAAATAATTATCAATTGATTGTTCGTGTTTTAACCCCACTTCTAAGCGCCACATTTGGGCTATTTTGTGGTGGCCAGTTTTTATTGGTGGAGGAAGTCGGAGTGCCGGGAGAAAACCATCGACCTTCCATAGGAAAACTGACAATCCTAGTCAATTAAGATTTGAGTCGAGTGCACCCGCACGAGCGGGGTTCGAACTCACAACCTCAGTGTTGACTGGCTAGTGATTACAGTAGTATAACTACTTAGACCACTTGGCCACCGAGGCCCCCTCGAAATAATTATTGTGACCAATGTTTGAAAAAAAAAAAAGGTCCTTGACAAAATCTGTCAACAGCAAAGGTGATTTTATGCCAAAAACCAGTGAGTGCTTCTTTATTTCATAAAACAGAAAGACATGAGGATGCGAATGTATGGGCTCGAAAGAAAAAGTGTCTAACTTATATATATGGGATCATACAGGAAAAACCTATTTTTTTATTTCAAAATTGTGTGTCTTATGACTGATATGCATGTCTTATTTTAGATTTCAAGAGAAGTTCAAAAAGAGTTTGGTAAGTCAAAATTTTTGAAGTTTAGAAAGAACATTACACTTATAAAACACATTTCTGGATTTACCTTCTTAAGAAATGGTCAATCTTAAAACCTAACTTGAGTGCACGAAAAACTATTACACCAAAATGTTTCAGCTTCGTATGAAAAGTTGGAACCTTAGTTTCCTATTTCATATGCAAATTATTATTGTTACAAAGGAGAATTTAAGAAAGATATGTTAAAAGTCATGACAGTACTACAGAACGGACCACGTAACTGATTAACCCTTTACAGAATAGCAGTCCTTCAGAAATGGTTTTGATCAATTTCTACAAAATGAAGATAATGCTTTATAAATAAGTGAGTCTGAAGCTTGTGCCTGTATTTACCTAAATCAAGAAAGCTTACAAAAAAGTAAAATCACAAAAAAACCAAACTCTTGAGGAAAATTCAAAACGAAAAGTCCCTAATCCAATGGCAAAATCAAAAGCTCAAACACATAAAAGGAATGGATAACAACTGTCATATTTCTGACATGGTACAGACATTTTCTTATGTAGAAAATGGTGTATTAAGCCTGGTTTTATATCTAGCATAACCTCTCACTTGTATGACAGTCGTATAAAATTCCATTATATTGACAACGATGTGGGAACAAAACAAACGTATATAATAGGTAAAAATGTCAAAAAGGGGTACAACAGTCAACACTGTGTTATAATCTTAATCACTAAAAAAACAAACAAATATGTGACAAAGCAACACAAAAAGACATATAGACAAAGCATACAAACAAAAATGAAAGACAAAAATACAAAAATTTACCATAGTACAATAACACAATTACGGGATGTATAAGTACCGAGCCATGTCAAATGGATATCACCAAAAATAGACTAATCAGTACTTGCAGACGTATAATCATATTAAGCTACACAATAGAAACTTTGAATGCCAAGTATGTATTAGTACAAAGGATCAGGAGCTATTGACAAAAATAGACCTAAAACGATTGGTAAAAACACCAGCTTTGTCTGATGGACCTTATTCTCTCATTAGTTGAAAGAGACATACAGAAAAGCTCGCTTTGAATATTGTCAGTATCAAAGGACTGACTACTGAACTGATGATACCCTTGGGATCTAACAGTCCATTGGCAGATACATTTATCAACAGTCCACCAGAAGTGGTATCAACTTAGTATTAGATAATGGAAACACTATCAACCTTGTATCATATGTTTTTTTATTCTCCACGCTTTTTGAAAAGGGCATATTTTTGTATCCGTTGCCGCCTCTGAATAGTGTTACATAACTATTGAAACCTTCACAGAACTCACTGAGATAAGTTATTGTTACATCTTTTATTTTTAGTTATCCTAATGATTTTTTGGAGGGTTACTTCTGTTTGATTATGAAATTAGTCATATCTGCAGACTGCATATTCATAATTCCCAGTTTTTAGTTGCACTTAGGTGCTCATTTTCCTTTTGAAATTGACATTGTATTGATAAATGATAATGCATCTTTGAGTCATTGTATTAACTGTATATAGTGTAGATTTATAGTTCCAATTAAATAAGTAGCTTTGGAACACTGTAAAACTATCATGTTATTTTGGGCAAAATACTATGAGTTTCAATTTATTTCAATAATTAGATTATTTCTATTTTCATCAAGGGTTATCATAATGCGCCTCACATGTTTTTATATGTAAACGTCCTTGGTTTTCAAAGGTCGGGTGTCAGCATTCCTTATGAAGGTTAATAGTATAAAGCTTTGGAAACGCAAAATTTATAAATATACAAATAAGAAGATGTGGTACAAGTTAACAACTGTCGGTCATCTATCGTATATAAAGTATTTGGTCATTTTAAAACAATAATTGTTGCTTTTAGACAGTTTGTAATATTGTCTAATTGGGCTTCTAATATGGTGAATGAATGTCTCACTTACATATATATCATTGGTTCCCTGAAAATACTTTATGTTGCTAAATGACATGTTTTCGACCACATTTCTCTAAATAACCCAAATCAAACTTTGGCCCTTAAAAAAAAAGGCTTGTATTGATTTTTGGGTCATAGTCACATGGAGACAATTATGGTTTCTAAATGATGTCAGTAAGAAAGGTGAGTTTAGGCTGCAATTAAAAATATCTTTGTTTCCCCTTACCCTACCCACCATTTTGGAAGTGGGTAGGTAGGTAGGCTTTTTTTTTTTTTTTTTTTAGAGAAAATCCCTGAAATATATCTAACACACAGGAAAACAACAAATTGAACTTTATTGATACTAAAACAACATACTGTATAATGTAATATGCATGACAAGAAGACCTTACAATTTCAGACTAGAAAATGTTTGTAAATATCAATGTCTTTGTGACTTAGAGTAGACCACATATAAATTGAGACACGGTTCTATATTTTTCTTATAGTTTTATTAATTCAATTGAAAATATAAAACCCCAACGAGACTGCTACCTAGTAACATTCGATGCAAAAAATATGTACACTTGTTTTTCATTTAAGGAAATACTAGAAGCCACAAACCGTGATCCAAGCGAGTATGACTACGCCTATTAAGGCTTATTCTAGAAAACTATGAATTTATTTTTAACAATAAACTTTACCATGTTTATGTGCGGATCAGTATTCGCTGAGTTAGCAGACCTTACAATGTTTGTTAATTCTTGAACACATTTTACAACACTTTCAACACAGAGAAACAAAATGATAATGATAGTTGAAGTTCACCTACGAATTTTCCTGTAATGAAACAATATTCTTAGACACTGTCATAATTATACAAAGGAGAAAGATTCTTTAACGAAGGCATAGTATGATACAAGACATTAAAACCAATATCAAACCAACTGAAACATATCAATATCTGCACAGACACTGCTCTCACCCAAAAAGTGTTTTCATTGAAAGGATTTTTCAAGGGTGAAGTATTGAGGTATCTCAGAAACACAAGCAGCAAAACTGATCTTAAAAAACAGTAAGAAGCTCAAACGAGGATATCAAATATCTGAAATCAACGATTTTTTTTTAACAAACACAAAATACAGAAAGGGAAAACTTGCTAACACATCGCCCAGCGAAATGGGAGCATCCGCTAGTACTGTTAACAAAATTCAACCCATCTATACAGAAACTAAAAATATAATAATGAAACACTGGCATCTTATTTCACAAAACCCTGAATGTGTGACCATATTTAATCATCAGCCCATTATAGCTTATAAAAGACATAAGAACTTACAAGAACTTTTATCAAAGCATTAGCTGGTATAGTCATCTCGACTTTTCACAACACAATATGATACTGAGCTCGAAAAAAATCAACTACTATTTTATCCAAAGACAACTAGTGTATGGTCCAATATCACATACGAAATGAAACAAAATAGCATAAATAGCACGTCAATATACAACTTATTGAGTCAACCACTGATAAAGGCGAACTCACTCTCAGGGATTTACCACAAACACGGCAGAAACACCAGGCCTAACATTTAAGCTCAAGGGTGAGCTCGGATGCGCAATCGTAACTACTCGGCCATTCTCGCTACGCATTTTGTTATTGAAGGCGTAGCTAGAATGGAAGAGTAGTTAAGATTCCTCGGATGCATTTATTTAAAACATTATTCCATTCCAATTTCAGTATCATTGCATACGTTGTTTACCCTTTGCTGCAAACACAAGCGCGACAATGATATCGCGGAATGTTGAAAATACGGACCATTCAAGGAAACGAAATTAAATAAACGAACTTTTGAGCGAAACGAAAAAAAAAAAAAACAACAACGTAATTTTTGAAAAAAATTATTTCAGTCGGCGGATTTTTAGAGGGTCGGTCGGGTAAGGGGAAACAAACTTAATTTTAATTTTGGTCTTATGACAATATTATTAATCAACGTTGACTATAAAAAGAAATTGATAATTCTGTTTATATATATAATTTTTGCAGACCAACCAAAGGAGAAATTGCTTATTAGACCATCAAGTTCCATTACAAAACTACTGCCTGATCATATTGGAATTCAAACATTCCAGCTTGGAATAGAACTTGGGCTATCAGTTGTTGAGATGCAACAGATTGCAATGAACCATGTAACAAATCTTCGTGGCCAAACAGAGGAGGTCCTTAACACATGGAGGTCTAGGAGACTGCCAGAAGCTACATATGAAGTTTTAGTCAAAGCTCTTTGTCGCCTTGAAATATCTAGTGTATTATCATACATAACATATGAAGAAGAATTAGAAGAAATAGTTGAAGTAGGATTAAAGGAACAAGTAGAAGTAGGATTAGAGGAACAAGTTAGAGGTGTGTACATTTTGACAGTGTAACTCCTTTGTCTGACATCAGAATTGTGCATTGACTATATATTACGTTAAGAATTAAATGTCCTATCAATTTTACTCCCGTTATTTCTGATAAACTACCTCTTAAAATCCAATGTCACTTGAAGAAGTTGAACTTTAGTGTGGTTTCTGCAATTACCATTATAAGGCAAACTGATTATATGGTTTGGGCTGTGCTCATTGTTGAAGGCCGTACAGTGACCTATAGTAGTTAAATTTTGTGTCATTTGGTCTCTTGTGAAGAGTTGTCTCATTGGCAATCATACCACATCTTCTTTTTTATATCGTCCATTTGACCAAATACCTGACAATGATCTCATTTCAATGGTTCTTTGATTTACCTTTAGATTATGTGCTTGAGTGAGTTACTTTTAATAAAGATCAACTATAGTTGATAAATTTATACATATTAAAAAAATTGTTATTGAATTGCCCAACCTAAAACAACAGATAAAAAATAGCCAACTCAATACCCTAAGATAATGGCAAAAGAACTAAAATTAAGCCGCAAACTTATTCTACACAGAAAACAAATATTGGGCAACCTCAACATGCCAAAACAAACCAAAAGCCTCAGTTTAAACTCAGATAAATAAGAAGAGCTATCAACTTGAAGCAGTTGTCTTTTCCTCTTGAAGATCAAATATCCCCTTAGTAACTGGTATGTGAAACTAGGAAAGGAGCACAGAGTATTGGATAAATTGATGTGTGAATGTCTATCTGTCAACTTTGAATTCATGGTCTTCATTCATTCATCATCATGAAGTCTACTTTACGCATAAAACAGAGAAACAAACATGTAAATTTTGCCGACATATAATCATATTAGGCTACACTAGATGTTTAACCACTTGAAAAAAATTATCAAAATAAATCAGAAAGTAATTTGCTATTTACTTCAGTGGTTATTCAAATAATGCAATCAGACAAAGATATATAAAGATACAAAAACAACAAATTATCCTTATTATGATAGTATGATAGTCTAATCAGATTTATTTCATATTTCCCAAATACAGAGAGAATCATACAGGATATAGAAATCAGTCAGATTTTAGATTATATGATGACCCATTTGGTAATATCATCAGATGACAGACGCAGCATTGAACATCACGTTAGACAAGATGATCAGAATAAAGCATTGCTTGAAGTAATGAATAAAAGGAGACAGTCTACTTATACTGTGTTTGTTGATGCACTACGGGCAAGTGGATACACAAATTTAGCAAATGAATTGAAATGGGATTCACAGGAAGAAAGCTCAAGTGAAGCATTAGAACAACCTCAAAATAAAGGTATGAGCAGTCTTTTCTTTTTATGAAAATTCACAAATAGTAGACTTTGTATTACATTGATGTTCTTGATACATTTCAAGTAAAAAAAAGATCTAATGTTTGTTTGTATAGGCGAAAGAACCAAAGGGACAATCTATCCAGAAGTTGATGGTAGACTGACAAATCCATGGCGCAAAAAGAAAAAAGCAACAGTTTTCAAAGCACTACATAGGAAATTAAACAATGCAAAAACCCACAAAAATAAATGGGGAAAGGGTAATCTCATATAGGCTAACCCTACAATCCTTGTGACACCGTTGTTGATTTTAGCGGTTTTTGTCGAGCCTGCGACTTTTGTCGCAGAAAGCTCGACATAGGGATAGCGATCCGGCGGCGGCGGCGGCGTTAGCTAACTTCTTAAAAGCTTTATATTTTAGAAGATGATAGACCTGGATGCTTCATACTTTGTATATGGATGCCTCATGTTACGAAGTTTCCGTCAGTCACATGTCCAATGTCCTTGACCTCATTTTCATGGTTCAGTGACTACTTGAAAAAAAAGTTAAGATTTTTTGTAATGTTAAATTCTCTCTTATTATAAGTAATAGGATAACTATATTTGGTATGTGCGTACCTTGCAAGGTCCTCATGCCCGTCAGACAGTTTTCACTTGACCTCGACCTCATTTCATGGATCAGTGAACAAGGTTAAGTTTTCGTGGTCAAGTCCATATCTCAGATACTATAAGCAATAGGTCTAGTATATTCGGTGTATGGAAGGACTGTAAGGTGTACATGTCCAACTGGCAGGTGTCATCTGACCTTGACCTCATTTTCATGGTTCAGTGGTTATAGTTAAGTTTTTGTGTTTTGGTCTGTTTTTCTTATACTGTATGCAATAGGTCTACTATATTTGGTGTATGGAATGATTGTAAGGTGTACATGTCTAGCTGGCAGGTGTCATCTGACCTTGACCTCATTTTCATGGTTCAGTGGTCAAAGTTAAGTTTTTGAGTTTTGGTCTTTTTTTCTAATACTGCATGCAATAGGTCAGCTATATTTGGTGTATGGAATGATTGTAAGGTGTACATGTCTAGCTGGCAGGTGTCATCTTACCTTGACCTCATTTTCATGGTTCAGTGGTCAAAGTTAAGTTTTTGAGTTTTGGTCTTTTTTTCTAATACTATATGCAATAGTTCAACTATATTTGGTGTATGGAAATATTTTATGATCTATATGTCAGTCACGCAGGTTTTATTTGACCTTGACCTCATTTTCAAGGTTCATTGCTCAGTGTTAAGTTTTTGTGTTTTCGTCTGTTTTTCTTAAACTATAAGCAATAGGTCAACTATATTTGTTGTATGGAAGAATTGTTAGCTGTACATGCCTGCCTAGCATGGTTCATCTGACCTTGACCTCATTTTCATGGTTCATTGGTCAATGTTTAGTTTACTTGGTTAATGTTAAGTTTATGTGACAGTTGTAATAAAGCTTTATATTTAGGACTATCAACATAATATCAATGATTAGTAAAGAAGGCGAGACATTTCAGCGTGTGCACTCTTGTTATTCTTGGTTTGGAATTTCTTTATGTCGTTGATACAATTGCAATGTAAACCTGAATGACCAGTGTTTTGCATCAACCATCATTCACTAAAATGATTTTTTTTTTAAACATACAGTTTTTGTTTCTTCAATTCCAGTTTATTTTGTTCTGATTTACATACTGAGAATTCCCTCAAAAGTTTCTCCTCGGATTTTCCAAAATAATTTAATACTTCTGTGGTCATGATCAATGATCATGACTTCCCGTGAAACTCTTGTTTTTTATTCTTATTATACATGTATATAAAGTGATAATAAAAACTGTTAAACAATAAATTGTAGGATTGTCAGAGAGGACTGTCCCAGTGTATAGAGTTCGTCTACAGAAGAATTATTCAAATATCATTAGCTGTATAGATCATGAAAACATAGTAGATCAGTTAATATCATGTGATATTTTGACAATAGCTGATAGACAAATGATAAATGCTTGTCCAGCACAAATACAAAAAAACAGAAAACTAATGGATATGCTGTTGCATGGAAGTGAAAAGGGATTTATGGAATTTCTCAAAACTCTACGAGACGACTATGTCTATACAGAACTGGCAGATGAAATAGAAAACACACCAGTTGTGAGCAGAGATTTATCAACCTTGCAGGGTTGCTATAAATAAACTGGAAGAAAGTAGGTTATAGGTATATTCATTTTGTATCTAAAACTCTGAATATGTTTCTATCATACTAAGATAGTATAAATAGCCTGAGTATCAAATAATTTGCAATATGGAATTAACTATTGGATTTGATATTTGGGGCTTAATTTAATTTGTTGGTGACGATTATATATAATTTAAATTCTTCTGAAAACTTTTATTTGTGAAAGTGCAGTTTTGATCAACAGTGTTAAAGAAAACAAAAACAGAAATAGCATACACAAAAAGGAAAAACAACAAAAAGACAAACACCAGTCCACCATACACCACAACAGTGTTAAAGAAAATAAAAACAGACAATAACATACACAAAAAGGAAAAACAACAAAAAGACAAACACCAGTCAATCATACACTACACAGAAAAATAAAGGTTGATTTACATAAATGCCACTATACTATTCCATTCTTTATAAGAAAAGTTACATTCTCTTATGGTTATGAGCTGCTTAGTCTCTACTGTTAGCATGAAGAGAAATTTCTCGTATCACACTGCACTGCACCAAGTGTGATACGAATAAGTGATATGTGATATGAGAAATGCGTTTGTTTGATTGGCTAATCCATCATCATGAAACAATATTAAAACATTTCCATTTGCTTTTTTTTAGGTCATTGGCAACTTTCAAAGTCAAAACGATTTATATTACCTATATAACAATATAGAAATGTGTGATTTCTTCAATAATATACAAAACACATGCAAATCTTATCCTTGTGTTAAATTGTATAACATTGTGAAGCGAAAATTAAACAAATGTCAGATTTTAAAGTGTGATGCTGGAAAAGGACATACGACACCATGCTGGCATTTTATTTAGAATAAAGAGAATGTTTACAAGAAAAGGAATAAATTTAGCTAATTATAAGAATGGGATATCAATTGATCTCAACTATCAGTATTTAATCTAAATAGTAATTATAACTTGTCACAGACTCATTACATTGAATTAAATATCTCATGTTGATATTAAGGGATATTAAATCCTCACTCATTATGAAACATATAATAAGGGATTTCAATGTTTTTTTCTCAATTTCTGTGATGAAATAATGTCTTATTATTTCAGAGACAACAGATAATACCTGAGATGGAATTCAAGAAATCTTGCTAACATCAACAGTATGATCTCATTTTCGATGTCAACAGGTTTTCCTCAACATCTGATTGTTAAGACACAAAAAAACAGAGAAGACAATGATTGGCAGAAGATTTAAAAGAACAACCAATTCAATATCACTTGAGTTAATGTTCATCCATATATAAACATATCAGTATCTTATGTTTTTCTTATATTGTGTGTTTTTGCTTTTTAACTGATAAAGATATGTACATATCTGTTTATATTTTAATCTTGTTGTTTTGTACAGTTATTAGAGTAACAAATTATCACTGTCTGATTCAAATACTAGTAGTGTTTATCTTAATTATATTATATGTTATCATTTATATTTTTTTTCATAGATAATTTGCTATTTATCTAAGTTTGTAAGTTATTCAGTATTGAATTAACGGTTTGTGAAATGTTGTAGATTATCTTAGTGTAGATATGTAACATAGCATTATGATAATATAATCAAATAGTATTCTGCAGATTTAATGGAAAACGTTAGCAGTATGTATGATAGCTTAAAGAGACAACACATGAAATGGACTTGCATTTTATATTGATTTCAGGGTTTGTTGCCTGCGTTGTGTGGATGCATATGTTTCATACCTAAAAGAAACAAACATGATATGGACATTTATTTTATATTGTTTCAGGGTTTGTTACCTGCGCTGTGTGGATGCATGTGTTTCATACCTTAAAGAAACAAAAATGATACGGATATTTATTTTATTGTCTCGCCTTGACGGAGTCAAAAAGCAAAACATAGGTATGCTGTTTCCGGCGGCGGCGGCGGCATCAACAATGTATTAGTTTGTGATTTGGTCTAGTTTATGGTGAGCAACAAGTGGTAGGTCAATCATATTTGGTATGCAGTTGTATAAGCATTGGCACATCTCATTTCCATGGAGATTATTTGGCCCTGTCCCCTCAGTTATGGTCTATTGACTTTGAAACTTATGCATATTTTACATGTATTAGTTTGTGATTAGGTCAGTTTATGGGGAACCACTATTGTTAGGTCAATGATATTTGGTATGCAGTTGTATAAGCATTGGCATATCTTATTTCCATGGAGATTGTGTCCGCCCCTTTAGTCATGGTCTATTGACTTTGAAAATTTTGCTAAGTTAATTTGTATTATTTTGTGATTAGGTCATTAGTATTAGGCCAATGTTAATTGGTATTCAGTTGAATAAGCATTAGAGCATCTCATTTCCATGGAGAATATTTGGCCCTGCCCCCTCAGTCAAGGTCTATCGCCTTTGAAACTTTTGCTTAGTTTACATGTATAAGTTTGTGATTAGATCAGTTTAAGATGAACTGCTAATGTTAAGTCATTGAAATTTGATATGCAAATTTATTGGCATTTGCAAGTATCGTTTCCCTGGAGATTATATAGCCCCAGCCCCTCTTCATGGTTCATTGACTTTGAAACTTTTACATAGTTTAAAGTTAATATTGTGTTTTGGTTTGTTTAAAGGGAACGACTTATAATAAGTAAATGGTATTTGGAATGTTGTTGTATTAGCATTGGCACATCTCATTTACATGAAGACTGTTTAGCCATGTACCTCAGTCATTGTTGATTGACTTTGAATATTTGCATAACTTATGTAGGATGTTAAAGTATTGCTATTTTAATTTTAACATTTGCATAATCAAAATTAAAAAAAGGCGAGACATATCTCTGTGATAACAGTTTATATTGATTTCAGGGTTTGTTGCTTGCGTTGTGTGGATGTATATGTCTCATACATAAAAAAAACAAAAATAATATGGACATTCATTTTATATTGTTTCAGGGTTTGTTGCCTGCACTCTGTGGGTGCAGTATAATGAGTCTCTGTGCATATGGTGTATGCCCTTGTATTTGACAGTGATAGGTGTTTTGTTTGTGGTAGAGATGTCTATATTTAACATTATACTACTAACATGTTTAACCCTGTCACATTCTGTAGCAAGTCAGGGGACTCTTAATTAGTGATTGTCATTTTTTGCTGTATAACATTTTTTGTTTTTTTGTTAATTGTTTTTTGCATACATCTAGAAGGTAGTTTTGTAAATTGTTTTTTTTTTTTCATTTTTCATGTAAGCCTTGTATAGCTTGCTCATTGTTGTAGGACGTACATTGACCTATAGATGCTAACTTTTACGTCATTTGGTCTGTGTTGCAGAGTTATCTTATTGGTAATCATACTAAATTTTTTTTTTTTTTTTATATTAAGGCATTATTTGTTGACCAATCAACGAAAGAAACTAAGGTTTCCAAAGCATGTAACTGTAAAAGTTAGAAATACAGACACAAAAAGTGCAGATAGTGTGGTGGAAGAAAATCCAAAAAAATGGAGGAGAAATTCCATGATGAAATCAAAGAAAGGAGTTGAATTTTTCATCAAACAACACTTTATGTAAATTGATTTTATCTCATATTGCTCATACAAAAATAACGGCTAATGTTTTCACTTAGTTTCGGTTTTCTTTCTGTTGTAAGACAATTTTTTAAAATTTGTTGTCATCTCCTTTCAAAAATTATCAGGAGATTGATCATTTAAAGATCCTCTGTAAATGATCATGATTTAAAAGTATTGGATTGCAATTGCAATTGGATTGTCAACATTAGAGGGACACATTTCCCATTATATCCTAGAACGTCTTTGCCAATTTCAAAAAAACTTGGCAGAAATGATGTTATTGGATTTCTATAGATATGATTACCATTTTGTTCTGACCAGTTAAAGAACACGAACATCAGGGACAGATGAAAAACGCAACCACCAGAGGTATATTTAATTTCTAATTGATGAAAAAACGACAACTGGAGGCAATCTTTTATTCTATTAGATGAAGATTTCGACCAACAGAGGCATTCATTAATTCTCATAGATGAGGAATACAACCACAAGAGGCACTTTTTAATTATAATTGATAAAGAATCCGACTACTAGAGGCAATCTTTAATTCTAATAGATGAGGACTACAACATCCTGAGAAAATTTTAATACTTATTGATGAGGAACCCGAACACTTAAGGCAATTTTTAATTCTAATTAGGGATGTCAACTCGGTGAACAATTACTAATCGAGTATTCGTTGGTTTGTTCGAGCGATACTCGAGTACTCGCTCGGGAATATATTTTATGGTTTATGGTTTGTTGTTCAATGGACGAAAAACCATCTACATATGAATCTGGGACAAGGAATTACACACCATAATTAATAGCTCATTACCTACAAGTACTAATTAAGTAAAAACAATTATCTAATCAATACAATTTGATAAACACCTATCTAAAAATTATAACAAGGAAAAACCATATCAAACAATAGTATTTGGTAATCGTTAAGAAAACACATTTAATGTATACAAAGGCGTAATGATTATAAGTTTAAACTTTTCACTGAGGGTCATCAGAGGATGCAACGATCTTTTTTTATTTGGAAACATTTTCTTGTCGACTATTATTGGGGACAGTCCGTTTTGCAACTTTGTAAATTACAGTCTTGCAGACAAAAATATTTGCTCTGACGGTACCGATGTATGGAATGTCTAAGCCATGTTTAGTTTAAAGACATCCCTAATTCTAAAAGATGATGACTACAACCACCTGTGACAATTTTAGTTGCACCGGCGACTTCTGTCGCAGAAAGTTCGACATGGGGATAGTGATCCGGCAGCGGCGGCAGCGTTAACTAACTATTTAAAAGCTTCATATTTTAGAAGGAGGGAGACCTGGATGCATCATACTTTGTATATAAATGCCTTATGTTATGAAGTTTCCGTATGTCCTTGACCTCATTACATAGTTCGGTGACTTCTTGAAAAAAAATTAAGATTTTTTGTATGTTATTTTACCCCTCTTATTATTAGTAATAGGATGAATAATTTTGTATGTGCGTACCTTGCAATGTCCTCATGCCTGTTAGACAGTTTTCATCTGACCTCGACCTCATTTAATGGATCAGGGAGCTAGATTATGTTTTCGTTGTCAAGACAATACTATAAATAATATGTCTACTATATTTGGTGCAAAAGGTAATCTATATTTGGTGTATGAAAATATTTTACGATGTACATACATATTGTAACAGTCTTACCAGTTTTATTTGACATAGACTTACTTTTCAAGGTTCATTGTTCAATGTTCAATGTTAATCTTTTGGTCTGTTTTTTGTTGAACTATAAGCAATAGGTTACCAATATTTGGTGTATGGAATGATTCTAAGGTGTATATGCCTGTCTGGCATGTATCATCTGACCTTGACCTCATTTTCATGGTTCATTGGTCAATGTTAAGGTATCATAGTTATTTTAGTTTTTTTGGATAGTGTAAGCAATAGGTCAACTATATCTATTACAAATATTGATTGAAAGGTGTGCTTGTCTGTCTGGCATGGTTTATCTGACCTTGACCTCATATTTATGGTTCATTGGTCAATGTCAAGTTTTCCTGGTTAAGTTTGTTTCTTAGAAACTATAAACAATAGGTCAACTATATTTGGTTTATGGAATGATTGCAAGGAGTACATGTATTTCCGGTTTGATTAATCTGATCTTGACCTCATTTTTTTGGATCATGTAGTTAAATTGTACAGTGAAGCAGACGAGATATTTCAGCGTGTGCACTATTGTTAATACTTACTGGTGTAGAACCCGAACACATGAGGCAATTTTTAACTCTAATAGATGATGACTACAGCCACCTGGGACAATCTTTAATTCTAATAGATGATGACTATGACCAAGAGAGGCAATCTTTAATTCTAGTAGAGAGACACCCCCCCCCCCCCCCGGAAAAAAAAACACTTTAGAAAATAAGGCTATCAAATCTTAATTCAGCAGAAGTAATGTTCTGTTCTTCGTTCTTCTATTCTTTAAATTTTACTGGAACATTGCTTGTTACTGTATTTATATACCATATATGAACTATGCAGGCTCATTAGGGTGTCTTTTTTTTAATTTTTGATACAAGTGTTCATGCTTTTTATAAGAAAAACAGATAACTACCATTGTGAAGAAGTGTTTTCTACAAGTTGCGTAATTATGAATTTTATATATATATCTTGTACAGTATATTTTTTTTTATCAGATATGAATTACATTGTTATTAAATTTTTTCTACCAGTTGTGTTATAAAGAACTTTGTATATATATCTTCTAACAGTATATATTTTTATCAGATATGAATAACATTGTCAATAGGTGTTTTCTACCAGTTGTGTAATAATGA